TATCTATCTATCTATCTATCTATCTATCTATCTATCTATCTATCTATTCAATGTATATTGGAGGTGGTGACCCTTTAAGAGCTGTATGCAATCAAATTTTATTTTAATGTATGCCAATTAGTGTACATTTAAAGTGACAATAGAGTTATTCTAAGTCTAAGTCTTCTAATGGTCATTAAGTGAGTCACCCACCCACTCAATGATCATGATTTTGGGTCTCCCAGCTGTAGTTGTTAAATGGAGCATTGGATTCCTCACTGCTGAGTATGGTAGAGTACCTGTGAAGTGTGGTGCAGGCCTGGCCCGCACTCTATTTCAACTCCCATGTGGTCTGCATTGTGCCTTGCAATATTGAATGACTACTGAATAAATAGCCATTAAGCAAGTAATAAATGTGAGCAAGAGATTTAAACAACTCTTGAATGCATTGGGAGAAGCCGACCAACAAGCCAGGAAAATAAGTGGTACTCATATATGGATATCAGACATGGTTGATTGTAAATAACTAACTTATTTGTGATGAATATGGTTATGCTAACATTCCTTCTGCTACTTAAATTATTATTAAATTTTATTGTAATGTAACATTCATGTTCAAGGATCAATTGAGTAGAAAAGTCCTTTACTGTCATAAATAGGTGTATTGAATACCCTACAGACTACAGATCTGATGTACAATGAAACAGAAAATAGATTGTATTCATTTGTGCTTTCCTTTTATTGGGTACCTTTTCAGAGTGCAAATTCACCTGCACCAGTGGCAAATGCTTATATCGTGCCTCGCTGCTCTGTAATGAACAGAACGATTGTGGGGATAATAGTGATGAAGAGAACTGCTTACTTGTAACTGAACATCCACCTCCAAGCATCTTCAGCTGTGAGTACTTCCCAGTTATATACTTTACTGCGAATTTTGTTATATTTCTTTGCTGTTGTTGGGTGATACTGGAATCGAAGTAGAAACTGGTCACCATGTAATGATCACAACAGAGAATTAAAAATATAGTTATAGTTGTGATTTCTCATTTTCTTTCTTCTCAGTTGCTCTGCTTTATTAGTATGAGACATTTTCAGCAAAACAACGAAGGCACTGGGAATTTAGTTGCTTACAACAGGGGCTGTGGACCAGCACTGGGTTGTGACATGCCAGCAGCTGGGCTGCTCAAACAAGCAAAGCCCCATCTGCAGGATGTACATGTCTCTGTGTGCAGAACTGGTCCCTGGTACCCAAAAGGTTGGGGTTAGCTGACTTACAATACTAATTTCTCATACTCATTGATAGAACTATATACAGCATGGTGATATGCCCAATATTCGGAAAACAGAAGCTAACAGTTTGTCAATGATGGAGGCTTCAGGATTATCTAGCTTGAGTAGGAGTATCCATGTGGCAAGCAGACAAATATTAGCAGCCATTGACAGAGGGATTGAGTAAAACTAGACTAGTCTTCATATTGTCTGCCATTAGATATGTGTAGATTTTTGACCTTTTAAAACAGAGAAGGCAATTTGTTTCAGACTCTTAAAAGAGGATCTTTTGGATTTTGTCCAGTTTTAATTTTGCTGAAAATCTAAGTATTTACAGGATGGCATATAGTATCTAAAACATGATGTACATTTTAATGCTTTTTTCTGTCCAATTCTATCCAGCTACAGCTAAAAATTATTTTGATATAATTATGAATCATATTTTCACATTAGATTTTAAATGCAGAGAAATTTTAATGTATATATATTCCAAGATAACATAATCTTTATGACAGCATCCAAGTAAGGTTTCCTTCATATTATTCAAAAAGATTGCTCACTGATATATTTCACAATTGGGACTGGAAATTTTGTTGTTCTGGTCGTTAATTGAGGCATCAGACGATTAAACTTAATTTTATTATCATTTTTTGTCATGATTATTAAGGAAATCAAACTGTGGTAATTAAGGAAGACATCCTAAGTGATTGCAATTTGTGACCTTCCCTGCCAGTTTCCCCTTTGACTTTGCTTGCTGGAAGCCCGCTAGGAAGGTTACAAATGAGAATTGCATGATCCTGGAATGTTGTAATGGTTGTAAACATATGCTGGTTGCCAAGTGCCAAAATCGTGATCACATGACTACAGAGACACTATGATGGTCATAAATGTGAGAATCAGTCTTCACTATTTCACTGCTGTCATAACTTTGAACGACTGATAAACGGTTATAAACTGAGGATTCCCTATATCAGATTTGTAGAATACATTTAACATTTGATGAGAGTTCATTTGCCTCTAAATAATAAATTGTAAATTAATTTTTTGAGTAGGAGCTTTTTGTTTTACAGTTGTACATAATGGCTGAATTCCTCAAATGTCTATAGATTTATAGACACAGATTTATTCTCCATCCTTATCTTCAAGCATACAACTGAGTGCTGCTTGTGTTTTCATCACCCAACCTTCCTTTGGGACTATTCCTATAGAGCAGGGGTGTCAAACTCACGTCGTCATGGCGTTATCGGGACTTTTCCCCCCTTCGCTAAACCAGGCGTGGGCATGGCCAGTGTGTGACGTATCCGGCCCCCAGGCCGGGAGTTTGACAGCCCTAACCCACATCCTAACTCTGCAGGGCTGTCAAACTCCTGGTTATTGGGCCGGATGCATCATGTGTGGCCACACCCATACCTAGTTTAGTGAAGGAAAAATGTCCTGATATGTCACATGACACTGCTGTGACAACGTGAGTTTGATACCCCGCTATAGAGCTCTTCTTGAAAAGGTTTGTCTTTCTGATCAGCTGTTAAGCAGAGTGTTTTTCTCCTTTCCCACCAAACAGAACATTGTGAATTTTCAGCTTCTTTTCATGCAGGCTTTCTTGGCATGAAGCCAGATTGGGGAGGATGCTAGATTTTGTGCATTAATAGATTCCAGATGTTTTTAAGCATTCCACATGTTGATAGTGTTGGGCCAGGTGCAGTGATAGAACAACTTGCCCAGCAGTTTTAAATTACAAGGGAGGTGAAATACTGCTCATTGAGCAGCACAATTAATTAATACATTGTTACAGTTACTTTAATTATAGCATTCTGTACTTTTGCATTAGATATGTCCTTTGTGAGGAGAACTTAACAACCAAATATATTGATGACAGACGTGGTAAGGATTTATCATCATGGATTTTGCCACAGTTGGTGCATTATGCTTTAATGGTTGAAAAATTTGACATTCCAAAATGATTTCCATGATCTATTATTAAGACCATAGAAAATTTGGGACAAAGAGATTTAGTCAATATTCTTTGCAGCTTGGATCAAGGAAAGCAAATATGTCAATATGGTTTTATAGCTGTTTTTAATATTTTGCCTACTGTAGGGGAATATAAATTCACTTTCTATTCTGGGTCAGAGCATATAGACTCTGAGAATACAAATAATGTACAGGAATAACTGTACAGAAGAAATGATTGAATTGCAGATTGGTAAATTCAAATCATTGATTGAGAATTCTGTCATACTCAATTTACTGTCTAATTGCATGTTTTCTCTTCCATGCCTTTGCAGCCCAAAGTAATAATTCTGCAAGAAATCTTTGCACATTTATTGTATTGGCATTGTTCACTGTACAGAATTAATCTGTGTGCTTGCAGTAGAAAGGCATCGTCAATTCCTTGCTGATTTACAGAAGAAATGCTATGATGAATAAGACTTCTGCTCATATGTCAGTAAAATGTGGCCATACAGTCTGCTGCATGACTGCAAACTAAAATAATCTTAGGTATATTCTGCATCCAATTGAAATAGTTTATATTAATGTTTTATAAAACTGAAATGAATAGGAAGTTACTTATTTCGACCAAAGATAAATGGGAAGTGGATAGGTAGGTTGTAGTTTATTTGGTCAAATAATGAGATGGTAGATAACCAGATAGTAATTGTTTTTTTACAAGGATTATCAAGTTTCAAATGAAAGGGCAAACATATATTGACAGTATTAAATAATTTAAAATAGCTGATTAATTTACTAAACAGATTGGCGAAAGAGAGAAAAAAATCTGGCCCAGAGATTTGTTACATTCTATTATTAACTACGAAACCCTATATATTGTTAACAATATTCTTGTTAATAACACATTGGTGCTGTTATGCCAACATTATTGTCATTCAGCCTGTGTTTCATGACATTGCTCCAGAAGATACAATGGATTTCACAGATATGATAAATTGTAGCATGATTTCTTGCTCATATTTCATGGTTCAGAAAAGTAGTCAGGATGTATAAATACAAATTAAAAATCTTAGATTATAAAATTATGGTTTCATTCAAGTTCTTACATGTCAAAAAGCAGGTGTAAAGTTTTCATGTTATTATTACTGTCTGTGATGTATTTGAAAACTATGCCATACACAACTCCCTAAATTTTAAGAATTATTTTCATAATGTCAAATGCAGCATTAATAGAGTTTTGTGGAAATGTGTGAGTAGTTTATAAATTTTGTGGGTTAAGCAACTTTTAAATACTCCAGATAAATTTTCTTATAATACATTCCAAAGAATTTAGAACATGTTTATAAGACAGTAAAGACATTATCTGCATGTAGTTCACACGGGGAGTTTTTGAAAGGTACTGTTTACCTGTATCAGATAAATACATAGATCACGGCTGGTCTCTCCATCTTCCTCTCCCTCTCTCCCTCCCTCCCTGTCTCTCTCTCTGTGTGTCTGTGTGTGTTGCATGAAGGGCTGACTCTCATCTGGGTTACTTGTCCATTTATTTCAATATGTAGCCGTCTGGTATAGATGTTAATGAAAGTCTGACACTGCCGTTTTAAGAACTGCAACAATGATAGTAATTTTCAGTGTCAGATTATGCTTCACAGAGGGAAAAAATATTGGGGGAGGAATGAGAGAGAAAGAGTGAAAAAAAAAAATCCAGTTCTAATAGAGTTTGCCATCAGCCTGGCTGTGCCAGACAGATGGATCATGAATACTGTCTAGACACTCTCTGCCTGAGTGAAGCTGTGGTCTCTAAGGACAAACAGTGAGATGCTGGTTTAAGTAATGGGGGGAAGCCAAGCTGCATTCTCTTCTAATCAGACAACAATCAATGCAGATTACACTTCATCAGGCCTGAGAAATGGCCCTCTGTTACTGATAATAGGACAAAACCTATTTTTCAGTTGAAACTTGTTCATGACTAGATGTTAGGAAGAAAGAATAGGGCAGAATTATAGGCAGTTATAAATCTTGATTTCAATGATTTGTTGCTGAAATATTCAGAATAATTGTAGGTGGAATAATGGAGAGCAGACAAGTGATCTGATACTGCTACAAAATGTGTGCACAGCACTTTTCAGTTACCTTTTTAACCTACACATATAAGTAACTGAGAAATAATTTACTGAATTATTTTCTTTTCAGGAGAGTCTGATATAATTAGACTCTGCCATTCCTAATAGTCATTCTAGGTCATCTGCCTTCATTAATTGTTTACCTAACAGGTATCATATTATGATAAATGTGTCTAGGAAGTCATAATAAAATGCTGTATAGATTTTGCTGGTTGTACTGAGCATCCCCACTGCCTACATGTCAAACAAGAAAAAAAGCAAAATGCAAATATCTCAGACATATCTAGTTTCTTGCACACCACCCCCCAAAAAAGACAAATAGGGGGTTATTTTCTCCCCCCCCCCACATAGGACCTAGGAATGGGAAGCAATTGAAAAAAAATGTCTTCTTTCGTTTGGTTTGGTTTTAATCTCAGCTAATAGCTGCATTAGTTTCAGATTGTCAGATTTACTTTATTATTTTATTATGAAGACCATTCATTTTAGACTTTTATATTTTATATTTCTAATCTGACTGATAATGGAGTATACTCAGTAAAAATATGTAACAGATAAT